TAGATGGGGATGTACATAATTTTTGTAGGGTTTATTTGTCATTTTTATAACTAATAGGGGTGTATTCGGAATTTTTATTATGGTTAATGATGAATTTGGAGATGTAAGACGAGGTGAAGTTTTGATGTTTATGTGTTTGGGGATGATTGATGGTGTAAAGTTTTTATTTTGTGTTCTGGTGTAAAGAAGTAAGTGGCGAAGAAGAGGGTGTTAGTTCTGAAATTTAAAACATTTATAAGGGTCATTTATAATTTTATTAACTTAGGGTTGTAAAGTAATTTCTTACTTTATTTAATAAAAATTTGTACGGGTAAAAGGGGTATTCCAACCATCAAATCTGGTCGAAATGAATGTTCCATGGACGAAGACTAACGTTGAATGGTGGAAAAATGTAGGGTGGTCAGGTGCAGGTACCCGCGCAAAATCAAAGAAACTAGAATAAGAATCGGAACCAGAACCAAAACTAGAATCGGAACTAGATTTGGAACTGAAACAGGAACTAGCGGTTCCGATTTCGGCTCCGATTCTGGGTATCCTTTTAAAAAAAATGACAAATAAACCCTTCAAAATTATAATTACACCGCTAACAGTTTTCTGAAATGTTGTCAAATTGACCAATCAATTGAGAAATAAGTGTTCCAAATAATGATGAATTGGAATACTAATAATTGATGGCTATTTGAGAATTTTACCCTTTTGATCTTCAGCGTTATAAACAATTATATTGAATGCTCATCTCATTGTCTGTTGAATTATTTATATACCCAATAACTAAAATTTAAAGGACTAGTGGTTAAATAACTATCAATATAATATTTAAACCAATAAAAATATCCTATTGAGTTGTAATTGTGATCCCAATTTGCTGTCTATCTAATTTTCAAAAAATTGAAAGTTGAAGTACAATAGAAATATCATCCATGACAACACAAAACACTTTAATTAGCAGAGTATAAAGAAACTTCAGTATCTATGGATATTATGTATATAAAAAGTTACAAAATATCAATAATTTGAGTTATTCCACGAATTCCTTTTGATTACTTTACGAAGCACAAAAGTTTAAATTTTCAAAGAATCAAATGAGGTGAAGAAGCAGGAAATTGCAGCAAGCCCTTAAGCATCAAATTCTGACAGGAAGCTGTACTCTAGTCCCTCTAAAAATAAATTAAATGAATAAATAAGAACACTTCAAAGAAACCAAAGAACATTCCATTACTGCAGTTTTTTTGTATGCATGGTTTCAGTTTATGCTACAAATTGAACTGAAGAAGATATGGTTTCTGTAAATTAAGCAAAATTGTCAAGTATTGTTGAGGGAAGAGGACATGAACTCAGAAAGAGAACAATAAATGAGAAGACTATGAACTTCAACCACCATATCTAGTCAACTTACTGATTCAAGCAAAGATAACCTGCAAATTAAAATTATAGAACTAATATCATAGAAGATGATGACATACATTTGACTATGCACATAGACATAGAACATACTAAAGGCAAAATCCTAAAAATAAAACTTAAAAAATTGACACAAAGAGCAAGCATCTTTTGAACCCCAATATATCCTTAAAAGAGGTAGCTGAATACATACAAAATAAACAAGCAAAAAGTAATGAAATGAATATATCTGGTGCAATTAGTGAGCTAGAGATAGGGAAATAAAAAAATTAAACTTAAACGGCAGATACATAAGATCAAGGTTTAGATTAAACGTAAATTATATAGAAAGTCTAGAAATATCCTTACAAATCCATAGACATTACACCCATAACATAACAGTAACCGTTATCCTTAAATTTCAGAGGAACTAATTAAGGAGAACTAAATTATTTCATGATATCTGCAAATCTCCTTTCGAAAGCGTTGTCTTTAAATTAAAAAACAACAAATCAATAAAATCCCATCCAATTCCAGTATTTTCAGAAGAACTATGATCCAACACAATTAAACGAAAACAAATTTTTTTGTTTTTCGCTTTGAGATCAAGTCCCATGTTTCTTTGTCTCTTGAGCAACAAAAAGCAAAACCCAAACCTCAAATTTATTAGACGAAAATCTAAACCTCAAATTTATTAAATGAAACTATAATGTCAGATGCTCTGAAAAAGTACCTTCGCCGGATACAATTGATTGTAAAACTATGCGAATGGAAGAGAATCGAGAGACAGTTGATTTGAAGTCAGATTCAGCCGAAGAATTGAGAGGCAGAATTTTTTGTTCTTCTTCATCCCTAATCCCCAAATCGAGATATTGAATGCTCTTGCTCCCAGTCGCATTTTTTTTCTTCATTTTTTTGAAGTGTAAAATATCAGAAAAGATTTTATATTATCCTAAAATTTTATTTAAGTCTCGGTTTCGGTTCTGGTTCTCGATTCCACCCCATAAGAATAACCGCACAATATCACCCTATGACTTTCAAGAGTAATGCTACAGCCACCGAAGGTTATGTATCAAATCTGTACACTGAATAACGTAATAAAATTCTGACTATTGATTTATTATCAGTTAATATCAATAAATGATCAGGATTTTGTCACGTTATTCATTATATAAATTCGATGTGTAATTTTCAATGGCTCTATCATTTTTTGACTTTCAGTTATGGGTAAGAATTAGAACTGATATTTGGGTACCGTCAGTTCTGTTTTTACCCTTTTTTTGCCCACCCCCAGAAAAATGTATTTCGGTCTATAATTAATTATATAAAGCATCTAGTTGATTTAGGATGAGCTAGCAGCTCTGCAGCTGTATTGTTGAGGTCATTAACTGACAGAGGAGTGAGATCACTCAGGCAACGTCAGCTGCCACATTAAACTTATCTAAACTTGTGGTTGTTGGAAAATTAAGGGCATTTATTGTGTGCCACATTAAACTTATCTGATTTTATTGTGGCTGGAAAATTAAGGGCATTTATTATGTGGGTCTAAGCCGCCTTGAAATTCAGTTGGGAAGACTCAATTATTGATGCTCAATTTTCTATATGAACTGTTTATATTGATTTTCAACATGGTGGTCCCTGGGGCCTTGTCGGTGGATGTAATAAAATGGTCAATTTTGTCTAAAACATTACTGCTTAGGGATGGATGCTTTTTTGTTGATGTATATTAATTAAAACACTAATAATGCAGATGTATAAATCTTATAAAAATTTATGTATAAAAAAATAAATATAAAAAGTTAAACTTATCATATTTATTCTTTTATTTATTTTTTATCACATCAATTTATATAATTATTTTAAGATTTATTTATATATGTATTATTACACTTAAAAGAACTTATCAACAATGTGAAAGTTATTTTACCACTAAAAAACATATACCACATCTTAGATAAATACTAACTGTGGTATTAACTTAATTATAAGAGCAATGTCCTCATTATATATAGATAGGAAACATGGTTCAATACTATACCTTGAATTCCTCGCCATGGCCAAAGGAAACACCAGTCCACTTGCTCTTCCCATCCCCATCTTTACTGGGGAAAATTATGATGTTTGGAGTATTAAGATGAATACATATTTTTTGTCCCAAGACTTATGGGACATTGTTAATTATGAAAATTATTTAGAGATCACCGGCTCCACTCTATCTGAAGAATATCAGAAGCAGTTGAAAGAAATTAGGAAAAATGATGCAACAGCACTTTTCATCCTTCAACAAGCGGTGGATGATAATATTTTCCGCAAAATTTCTCGTGCTCAGAAGGCGAAAGAGGCATGGGACGCTTTGAAAGAAGAGTTCCAAGGCATTCCTCAGGTACGCGCTGTCAAACTACAATATGGATCTCTTGTTCATTACAGCTTATAATCGCTTCTTCTTCGTCGCAGACTACCGCCTTAGCAGAAGGGAGAGAGCCGGGTAAGTAGCAGAAAACTAAAATAAATTTTCAGAAGTAAATAAATAAAATTCCAACAAAAAAAAAAAAAAAAGGTCTTAAAAGTTTTCTGTTTCTTTTTATTGCAGAGGATTTCAAGAAATACCTGCCGTTATATAAAAATATACTCGAAGGCGATCTGAAATCTGTACGAGAACTCTGTGATAAGGATGAGAATGCGTTAGAAGCGAGGATTACAGTAAACTTAGACACAGCTCTTCATGTAGCTGTTGGGACAGGCAAGGCCAATCATATTGTGGAGTATCTATTGAATAAGATGTCAATGGATCAAGTGTCAATGAAAAATAAAGAGGGTAACACGGTCCTTTCCGTCGCTGCAATTGTTGGCAATGTCCGAGCAGCTAGCATGATATTGATAAAAGATGAAGATCAAAATTTAATTTATAAGATAAACAATTCTAAAAGGATACCTTTGATTGAGGCCGCTCGACATGGTCAAAAGAAGATGGTAAACTATTTGTCGCCAATCAGCATCAAAGGTTTGAATTACAATTCTGCAACACGTTTTACATCGGGCGTTCTTTTCGTAAAGTTGCTTATAACTGCTGAATATTATGGTGAGTTAATTCTTTCTTTCGCTAACTTTCAATACATGCCGATGAAAGTTTCATTTACTTTATTGAGACATATTTTCAGTAATTTTCTTCATGTCGAAATTTGAAATTAGTGATCCTAGCTAATAAATTCATGTCGATCATTATGTCTCAGACTTGGCTTTGCACTTGATTAAATTATATCCAAGTTTAGCGACAATGACATTTTATGGTGGTGAATCTCTGTTGAGTGAAATAACCAAAAAGCCATCAGCATTTCCAAGTGGAGGAACAAAAGGCTACCGTTTTGGGGATACGTCCGCGTTTCTAAGGGTGAGTACATATATTTCTTTCTGACATCAATGTTATTTTTCTTTTGATTTTTTATTAATAAACAATATTGCTCGACTAGTATTTTACAAATGAAGATATTTCAAATGAAAAAGGATTGAAATTTATTTTTTTAAATTCCAAAAGGAGGAACAAACTTATGACTTACAGTATTTTACTGGGTTATGTATACAGTTACTGTCATTGTTGACAGTTGAATCTGTTTAATTTGCAGTTACAAGTTATACGAAAAAAATAAGAGAGACAAAGTTGATGCGTGATTACAAAGTACTTGAACTTGTCAAACACTTGTGCAAGGTAATTGCAGACGATAAAAACGATTATAGAACAACTTCTTTGATACTAAAACGACCTCTCCTTTTAGGGGCAGAAATGGGGGTCTGTGAAATTGTGGAAGAGATTATAAAGTCATATCCTGATGCAATCTGGTTTACGAATGAAAAGAATCAAAATCTGTTCCACTTAGCAGTCATGAATCGTCAAGAGAAAGTATTTAACCTCATATATCAAATGACTGATCACAAACATTTGTTATTAATGTCTCAAGACGTGGACAAGAACAACATCTTGCATTTAGCTGGAAAGCTAGCTCCTGAAAATAAACTAAATGTCATTGCTGGTGCAGCTTTTCAAATGCAGTGTGAGTTACAGTGGTATAAGGTAAGACTTCTGATATAAACATTGAAATAGCTGCTTTTTGCACTACTGCATGACTATGGGGGGAGTGAAAACTAAGATATATATATATAACGATGTTAAATTAGTTTAACTCGTTAATGAATCTAAGCTTCCTTACACAAAATTAATTTATACATTACCAGTGAATGCGCCTTAGATTCAGTTTTTCATCCTCCTAACCAAGTAGACATGTTTTGGGTGATGTTCAAAGACAGTTGTCACATCCTACTCATACATTATTAGGGAATGAGTGTAGAATTTAATTTATGACACTTAAGTCCTCATAACTTAGTAGACATTGTTTTGGGTTTCATATACATTTTCGTTATTTCTGTTCTTTCATATATATTTATGTTATTTTGTAATTACGAAGTTTATGTTATACAGGAAGTAGAGAATATTGTACCTGGTGACTGCAAAAACGAAATAAATTGCGTAGGAGAAACTCCGGAAGTGGTATTCCATAAGTCCCATAAGAAACTTGTTATAGAAGGTGAGAAATGGATGAAGGAAGCAGCGACATCATGCATAGTAGCCGCAACAGTGACTGCCACACTAGTTTTTCAAGCAGCGTTCAGTGGAACTAGTGGCTACGATAAATTGAGTGTGTTCATGACATTTGGGTTTTCAGATGCACTCTCCTTGTTCTCATCGATTGCGGCCGCCATAATATTCATGTCCATCATCACTGCACGCTACAAACAAGATGATTTTCTTGAGACCCTTCCCAGAAAGTTCATATTGGGAGTTGTTATCATGTTCATCTCCATAACATCAATGATGGTAGCGTTTGGCACCACTGTTTATCAGATTTTCTATGAGAAAAAGGCATATTTGATGCTTGGTTTAGTGGGCGTATCAGCCTGTTCGCTCATGCTCTTGTTTATGGCTTCGCAATTTTCCCTCATATGGCACATGTTCATTTACACCTATCGGCCTGGCCTTTTCCGCAGACAAGCAAAGTCAAAGTGAAAATGTTGAAGTTACATACTATAAGATAATGAAATATTAGCATCTTATTTGTATTCTATAGATACTATAAATCTTTAATGACTTATTAAAACTTACACTATTATGAGTTTATAGATATTTATAGACTTGTTCTTTAAGGTTTGTTTTAACACCTAAACCGTAACGATATTGAGATTTTTGTTATTTAATTACACCTTAATCATTTATTATGATGTCAAAATAATAAGTTGTGAATAGCGTTGGGAAAGATTTATTTTTAAGTTAGTTATGTTTTTCGAAATTTTTTAGTTATATGTGTTTAGCATTGTTATTTTTAAAGTGATGTTGGATGTATACTTACCCGAAATAAAATATTTTTACAAATTTAAAATTATATTTGAACTAATTATATTATTGATTAACTTAATAATTGATTATATTTTAATTTTAGTAAATATATATAAAATAAATGTATAACTATTGAAAAATGATAAAAAAAAAAGTGCTCACTTATACTAACAATAAACGTAAATAAAAATATATATATATTAAGATTTTTTTCTTTTTTGAAATCTCTTTTCAGTGTTTAAAGGGACTAAATAAATAATTATTTATATAAATTTTATAAAATATTGAGGCTTGAATGTATTTAAAGAGTAATGTTAAGAAAAAGGAGGAAGATCAAACTATAAAAAATTAATCAATTTAAAAAAAAAAAAAAAAAGTAAATTTAAAAGGGGTCAAAGTGTAGCACTTAATGAATAAGAGAGGTCAAAATAAAAATAAAATTTTAAAATTATCGTGATTCAGCTTAATGGGAAAAATAGTAGTGTCTTAAATCTGCTAATTCCAACTCTAGAAAAACATTAAACATCCTTTGAATCTTCAAGAGTCTTGACACAATTTCAAAAAAAAATTGAGAGAGTAACAAGGGAATTTATTTTAACGAGCTCCATACTAATAATTCCTACGTGGATTAGCAACCAGGGCCCATCAAATCAGCCCGTCCAAGTTATTGAAAACTCAATGAACCATAGGTTGGTGCTTTGAGGTAGACCTAAGCTTGTATATGGGTCACAAGGGTTCAAAGTACTTTTCAACTATCATGGACCTAAACTAGAACAGAAAGTACAGTCGATAAACTTGGCCAGCAACCTCTACTGAAGGAGGATCACACACCATAGTCTTGTGGACTAAGAGAGCAATGAGCAAGTTAAGCTCCAATTCCTTCTTATCAATTTCTCTACTCCTTTATCTTATAAAAAAGTAAGACTACTACATGGGACTACCGCTTTTTGATATATGATCGGCTTGAGATCGACTAGATTACAACTGAGTCAAAATCAAGCTCAAGCTCAACTCGGTTATAATCAAGTCAAAATTTTTAATTATTTTAATTCATATATATACATATATATAATTAAAAAATTATATAATATGTCGAGCTTGAGTAAACTCATGAGTTACTCGAGTCAAATATTATTAAGCTCGAACTTGACTCGACTAGACCCATGAGCTACTCGAGCTCGACTCGACTCAAGCTCGAACAGCTTGTGAGCAGCTCAGCTCGTTTCTAGACCTAAGTTAACTTATATATTAAGTTTTACTTCAAAATCCGTTTATTATTATTATCACTTTCTTACGCAGTAATATTACCCTTTATAATTTTGCACCTCTTAGAGGTGTAATTACAATAAACCCCTAAAAGTTTCTAAGTAATAAATCAAACACTTGCGAGTTTCTAAAATTGGACCATAGCATCTCTTCCTTCTAAGATTGAATTTGAGGTTGCTGTAGCTTCTTCAATGATCATTTATTTCATAATTTATAATCCAAAAAGTAGTTGGTAAACTAATTTGAAAAATGATTATACAATTAGCTAATTATGGAATAATTTATTTTATTAAATCCAAAAGCAGATATTTGTAGCTTTTATAATTCAAAAGCCACTTTTGAAATGGTCAATTACAAAAAACACCCTAGGTTATCTTAAATTAATTTTTTAGTAAATAATTTTTCAATTAAATGAATAATATAATAAATATATTTAAAAAGTTTAGAACTGGTTAGTAAGATGTCTGCCAGATGTCAACTGCTGACAGTGGCCGAATGCCATCATCGGAGGCACGTCTAACAACACTGCCCACTCTGCCCCACTCCATTGGATAGAAGCAATCATAGCTATGATAGATGCGGCGAAACACCGAAGCTTTTGACTGCTCTGTCTACTCCACTAGGTAGATAGGCTGGAGGTCTACTTAATGGAGTGGGTGGTGCCGTTGGATGCGCTTTCGGTGACGATGCCTGGCCACATTCGAAAATACCTTGCTGACCAATTTTTTATTTTTATATTTTAAAAATTATTTTTAATATATTTTAATGAAAAAACTTATTTAAAAAAATATTTTTGTCATTTTAATTTATCTTAAATCATTTTCTAAAAGCAAAAGCAATTTAAAAAGTTTTTAAAATCTTCACTTGGCATTGGGTCAAGGATTCGGATTCTACCTGAGTTTGACTCTTGGACTGTGACCACCCACGTTTGAGGAGTTTCGTCGTCCTGGGTATTGGAGATTCTGTTGAGGGGCTTGATGGCGTAAATAGTGGAGTCCCTAAGGGTTAAGACGTCATTTTCAATAGACTTGGGTCTTTGAGGAAGTCGGTGCTAGTTAGAATGGAGTGTGGGACTGGGTAATGTTTTGAAGGAAGAGGAATATTAAGCGAAAAACGGCGCGCAAACGAAGGATATCGATTCGTGCGAGGAGAGTTTGACAATGGAGAAGAGGAGGTCTTTACAAAGTCTATTCCAATCGGTTTCCATTCCGGCCATGGCAAAGGAAGAACAGGAGAAACAAGGAGACTAACCAAGGAGAATGTTAGGTCTTTGTTGAAAACTTGGAATACTGTCTGTAATGGGGGGTAGGTTTTGAGAAACTCAGGGGTGTCTTTGTAAAAATTATGAGATTTAACGAGGAATAAACTTAATATTTTTAAAAATATGGGGTAACATTTACTTACTCAAACCTTAGAGGAGGTAATATAAAATACCCTTAGGTTGCGATTGGTTCGGGGTGATATAAGATTAATCCTGTAATCTTTCTTTAATTTTCAAAATTCCCTCGTTTGGTTGTCAAGTAATAAAATATTACGTAATCTTTTATTGTAAATAGTGTTTATTGTTGGTAATATTGAGGGTAATCAGATTACCTTCCTAAAGGATGTTAATATAAGATTACCAAATTAATCTTAATTTTGACCCTATTTTGCCCTTAATCTTTTATCATTTTGGACATATTTGCTCTCATATGTCTACCAAATAATAATTAACTCAGACCCCTTACATTTGAGAATTTGGCTAAAACACCCTAACCACAAAAAAATTTAAAATTAACAAATACCCTCCGTCACCCAAGATCACCATTGGCAGCTAGCCACCACTGCTGGCCATTGGCAAAAGTTGTCATATTGGTGCAAGACCGGTGGGATCTTGTCAGTCATGTATCGGTAAGGACGTTTCCGACCATGGATTTGTGATCCATGGCCGGAAACGACCAGATGTAGTCGTTTCACGGCCAAAGCCAAGGCCAAATCTATCCGTTTTTTGCCATGGATCTTTAGGCCTTACTCGTACACGATCAACTAGATCTGACCGGTCATGTGCCATTATGGCAACTGTCGGTGGTTGTGATTGGCTACAAGCAGTGGCTTGGGGTGAATGAAGGTGATTTTGTTACAAATTAAAGTTTTATATAGCTTAGGTTTTTTAGCAAAATTTCAAATATGGGGGTTAAAAGAAATAATTTAAAAAATAATAATAAAAATAATATTATATTATTATATATAAATGATGGTAATTTAGTAATATATATAATATATCTACTCATTTATCCTTCTAACCAACATATTATTATAACATACCTATCAATTTATCCCAACCAACCAAAAATATTTCTTTAAAAATTTCCTAATAATCTATCTTTCCAGTAATATAACAATATTCCCCAGTAATACAATATTTCTTATACCAAACGCACTCTTAATACAAAAGAATAGGAGGGAGTTCTTTCCCATTCTCTCTCGCTTTATTTCGCCTAAGAAATTGGAGGGAAAAGAAAATCCAGTGGCGAAACCACAATCTTTTGATGCCACAATCATCGCCACATCGACATGGACTGCTTGAACGTTTAAGATCCATCGAATTCTCTCGCTCTTTTTTTTTTTTTTCTTTATGGTATTTAAATGGATGTGTAATTGAGAAAATCACTGTTTGTTTTAAGTTCGATGAAATTTTGATGAATTCTAGAGGATAATATCGTCTCCGTTTGGCTCATTATTTTTACCCATATTCTTAATCCTATTATCAAAATATTTGTTTGTTTTGTTATTTGAGAAATATTAGTATATATTTTGAATTGTTTTTAGACCCCTTAAGTTTATTAATTTCATAAATACCCCCAGAAAAGAGAAAGTTTAAAAATTAACAAAAACACCTCGACCCACCCATACTTGCCAAATTTCGGCAACCACCATTGGTGGTAGCCGGAATCTATTACAACGGCTTACAAACGACTGAAACTGGCCGGTAATTCACCGATCTAGAATTTTTTGGCCAAATCCACAGTGGATCTAGTCGGAAAAGGCCAGATCTGATGGCCAAAGAAATTGCCATTGTTGACCGACAACGACAGTCATATCTTTGGCCGTCACTGACGGCCAAATCTAGACTTTTCGGCCGTAGATTTGGGATCTGGCCGGAAAAGGTCATATCGACGCCTTACCCGCCAGATTAGACCACTCTGCGTTGTAACGCCATTTTTTCGCTAGATTACGACGGTAGCGGTCGGAATCTGGCACTATGGGAGGGTGGGGGTATTTTTGTTATTTTACAAAATTTTAATATATTGGGGTGTTTAGTTAAACTAACAAACCTAAGGGTTTTTTTTATGTAAATTTTTAAATTTTAACTCGTAATACTCCTCTATTCAACTATCCAATATTATTCTTAAAATCATATCTAAAAT